CACATCTGTCTGTCCGCATCAGGACAACAAGTCAACTGAGGCTAAGGGTAGGATGATAAAACATCTCAAAGGCAAAAAGCTGGAAATATGTTGTAATGAACAGAATTAAAGGGAGGAGCTTTGATGCAAGTTCCACCTCTAATAGTAGTTCTGGCTTTAAAAGTTATCTATATATTTGTGCATTTGTGTGTGTGTGCGTGCATGCACGTACCTGTGTGTACCTCATGCACGGAAATCCAAGAACAACCCACGGGAGTCAGTTCTTTGGTAAGTACCCTTACCCACCAAGCCATCCTGCAAGCCTGGTTCTGGCTTTCGACAAAGTATCAATACCATAAAATAAATAATGTAAGGAAGCCGAATTAAGCAATGCCAAAGGCCTCCACACTTTAATTTCCTGTGACTTTAAGTGTACCTCACTGTGTAGAAAGACTAATACACAGGTGCTGAAGAGAGCTGAGCTTTGAGAGGCATGTGACTTTTAAGAGCAACAGGAATGCACCACAGTACTCAAAGACACATCAAGTCTGTAATGGGAACTTTAGTTTCTCGGGCTTCCTTATAATAGGGCAATCTATTAGATACAGAGGCATGTCAATCATCAGGCCTGAGGAATGAGAAAGGGGTGGGACTCATGTAGAAGGGCCTCCAACTCAACCCATAGACTCCCCTACCACCTACTTAAGACAGTTACTAGAAACACGGATAAGGTCACCTAAAACTCAGCGGATCACTGTTAAGCAGCAGATGGTACTTTCTGTAGTGAAGACACCGGAAGCAGTAAAGGAAAAGCTATTGATTTGATTCTCTGAAAGAAAAAATCGGAGGAAGGGAAACGAAGTGGGAATTGGCGTTGGTAAAACTCAAGACCCCACAGCACAGCACGCAGCACACAGCAGTGCCAGCCCTCAGGAGGGCAGCCTGAGCCCCGCCTCAAGAAGCCTCAACAACATCAACACCAAAACAAAGAAGATCCCACAAAAGGCAGAGGAAAAATGGGTGACAGAAGGCAAGGACAAGTGGCTGAGGCCGGGTTCCACACACACACACACACACACACACACACACACACACACACACACGTCTGTACGGCTCGCACAGGAATGGAGAAACCACAGAAGACGCGGCCATCAGCGAGCAACACTACAGTGGGAGATGGTATAAAAGGCAGAGTTTTACCAAATACCTCTGAATTTTTGGTCACGTAAACACATGACCTATTTTTAAAATGAGATAAGTCAAGATATGCATCTGCTCCTTAAATGTACTTATTTGTATCAAATAACTGAAAAATAAGACGGCCAAAGGAAGGCCGTGTTAGCGCCAAGTGTGGAGAGCAAGGGACGGGAGCATGGGTGAAGCAGAGTGCGGACGGCATGATGCACAGCTTTCAGGGTCCCGGGTTTCCTGGAGCACAAGATACACAAGGGAAGAAACCAGAACTTCTAAAAGAAAGCCTGTTTTCTGTTACCCATGAAAGAAGGAAACGAGAAACAAGTCCCCTGTCGTCCCCTCGACGACAGATTAATTAGAGACCAAGGCTTAGCCGGGCGGTGGTGGCGCACGCCTTTAATCCCAGCACTCGGGAGGCAGAGGCAGGCGGATCTCTGTGAGTTCGAGGGCAGCCTGGACTACAGAGTGAGTTCCAGGAAAGGCGCAAAGCTACATAGAGAAACCCTGTCTTGAAAAACCAAAAGAGACAGAGAGAGAGAGAGAGAGAGAGAGAGAGAGAGAGAGAGAGATCAAGACTTAGGACAAGACAATCATTTACCAGAGGAAAGAGTCTATCTTCTGAGAATTATTTGAGACAATTCCTGAGAAAGAAACAGAAAGGACGACCTCTTAAAGTCACTTCCTCCCTGGGAGCTTTAGATTTGTGGGTTACACAATTACCAGTATGCTTCCTTGTAGGGGAAGTTGACTGAAGCCATGCAAGGCCTAGGTTAGTAAGAAGGACCAGCACCTCAGTGAGGACTGCAGATAAGCATGTTATCTGTAATCCAATGAAAAGTCCCTCATGAGAAGTGCAATGACCATGGGCGGAGCCAAGTCAGAGGAGTGCATGCCTGCCGTCCTCAGAGCCCTGGGTTCAAGTGCCAACACCGCATGACACACGTGTAGTGGTGCGGCCTGTAACCCAGAACTCAGGAGGTGGGGGCAGGAAGATTAGGAGTTCATGTGGTTACATGGAGAGTTGGAGGTCAGATTGGGCTAAAACCCTGTCTCAAGTAGGTAGGTAGGTGGGTGGGTGGGTAGATGGATGGATGGATGGATGGATAGATGTAGATAGATAGATAGATAGATAGATAGATAGATAGATAGATAGATAGATAGATAGATAGACAGATGATAGATGATAGAAATAGATAGATAGATAGATAGATAGATAGATAGATAGATAGATAGATAGATAGATAGATAGATAGATAGATAGATAGATAGGTGATAGATGATAGAGATAGATAGATAGATAGATAGATAGATAGATAGATAGATAGATAGATAGATAGATGATAGATCGATAGATAGATAGATAGATAGATAGATAGATAGATAGATAGATAGATGGATGATAGATAAAGATTAATGTACAACAAGATGTCTGAATGGCTAGCAATGCTTTCTTGACATAATTTGTTTGCTTTACAGTAGCCATTAGCCATATGGCTACAATGGCTATATATGTGTGTGTGTGTGTGTGTGTGTGTGTGTGTGTGTGTGTGTGTGTGTGTGTGTGTTTTATAGACTTTTCTTAATGGTAACATTTAAAGAAAATTAAAGACCACCCAAAATAAAATTAAAGTTATTCTTCTCAGGAAATATTTGCCCTTATGACAGGCCAAAGGCTGAAGTTGAACTTTCCTCTATTTATGTGTGTAGTGCATGTGTGTGTACTTGTTTCATGGACTGTGACTGCATGTGTGCATGCCTTTGGTGGCCAGAGGTCAATGTCAAGTGTCTTCCTTAACTTCCCTCTGCTTTACTTTTTAGACAAAAATCTCTTACTGAACCTGAGGATCACCAGTTGGGTAGGCAGCCTAGTGAGCTCCAGCGGGTGGCGGCAGGGTGGGGGGGGGTCGTCTACCTGCTTCTACCTCTCCAGGAACATGCTTCAGGCTTTGCACATGGGTGTGAAGCATCTGAATTTAGGGCCTCATGCTTGTGTGGCAACTACTTTACCAACTGAACCGTCACCCCAGCCCCTGAAGTCGAACTTTCCATCAGGACAAGCCGGTCATGCGGCACCTCCACTGACAACCTCTTGGCTTAAAGGCTCGCTCTCCGTGAAGAGTCCTCAGCCATGACCCAGCCACTGAAACAGGAAGAGGACATGAGGGGGGCAGGACCCAGGGGAGAGGTCCACAAAGGAAAACTAAATCACAGTTCAGAAGATGAAATTTAATTTGCATATAAGATGGAAAAATAAATAATTTAGACCCTGGGAAATAAAGTGACTTGCTAAGAATCACGAATTACTTTTGTGAAGTTTGTTTTTCTTTATTTTTTCCCCTATAATTATTTGTGGTAGCTTGGACAATATTTATACTAATAAAGAAGAATATAAATAATAAATGTACTGAGTCATGGTGGAGTCGAGATCTCTCTCCAGTCTACTGTCCTCTGTATCATGCTTATTTCTTTAAACTTGGGAGACTTGGGGCCACTGGCTCCACCTCCTTCCCTCTGCAGCTGTTGTGAGCTGCAGCAGGAGCCGGTTGGTGGGTAAAGGGCTGCATGTCACAGAGAGCATCCTGACCGCGTGTGTCGTCCATCCTGAGTGAAGGGTGCCTTTTAAAACCCATCTATGTATCCACATGCTGTGCGTGTGTGCGTGTGTGCATTTGTGTGTGTACTGTTGAAAGGGTATTCACACCAGGGCACTCTGGTGACCAGAGAACAACTCATAAGGAGTCCATTCTCTCCTCCCGTCATGTGGGATCTGGGTGGCAGGTGCTTTTAGCTGCTGAGCCTTCTCACTAATCCTAGACAGGAGAGATCTCTTAATTCTGTCCCATTAACAAGACAAAGAAGTTAAAATTCTAAAATGTACTAACAGTAGTCAGAAGTGGTGTTAACAAAGACAGCTTCCCTGAGTTTTCCATTCACATCTATGCAACTACACAAAAACCATCGCCCTACCCCTTATCTGGAAACCCACTGACAGTTATTTAAATGACATGCGTTGAATTAGGTGGGTCTCCTACAATGTGATGTCAGCCCTCAGGATCCAGCAGCAAATTACCTGGCCAGTGAATCAATCAAAGCAGGAGGCTTGGCTTCTCCTCTTGTCTTGTTTCATGCAATAATCATGACAAAAGTCTAAGATTTGGTCAAACATTGTTCAGGAAGTTGGAACCCTGAGCCGTATGGAGACTGGCCTTTGCCTGTGTTCTCATCTTTGATATCTCAGCTTTGATAAAGACTCATCCTGACTAGGGCACGACAAGACCAAAGGGTGCGTCACTGTTTCTGCCCCACAAAGCCATGCTCCAGGGTCACAACGGAGGGCTGCCCAGAGGGCACACGTGGTCCCCAGCACATGGACAGCCTGCCACCACTGCACGAGAAACACCATCCGTCTCCACGAGGACAGAGTTTCAAGTGTGGGGGCCAGGGGGACTCCACACAGTTGTAGATGTTTCATCTACGCCCACACTTCCTCCCACTCTGCTTTCTTTCTTCCCTTCAGGATCCCAGTACCATGGGGCTCCACACATGCTAGAAAGTGCTCTGCCAGGGAGCTACATACATCCCCATCCCTTGTATTTTTTTTATTTTTCCTACTCTGGCCTGGAAGCAAAACTAGAAGTCTTATTAACAGAGTCGGCCCTCGGGGAGACCCAGAAGTGGCCCTCAGCGGCAACAGAACGGGAAAACCGATCCCCAGGCAGAGGCAAAGGCTAGCCACATCTCCCCACTCCGGCCAAGACAGGGTTCCTCTTCCCCTCTCCCACGCCTGAAGGGCAGGGGCCTCTGCAGCCGGGCCTCCTCCAACTCACTTTCTGCGTCAAATAGTATGGATCAAAGTCCTCGAGGGGGACCGCGACCAGGCCTTGGGGGATGTCCCCATAGATGAAAGGCAAGCTCTTCCCTGCTTCCAAGTCACTGTTGGGCTTGGGCTTGCTGTCCTCGTCGTCCTCCCGGTGGCTGCCGTCCGCCTTCGCCGGCTTCTTGAGCTTGCTCTCGGCAATGCGCCTCTCGATGTTAGCCAGCGACTCGGGCGTGAAGGGCTTGAAGCTGTCGGGGCCGGGTGGTGCGAGCAGCTGGGCTGCCATCTTCTCATCCTGCAGCTGCTTCGTTCGTCAGGCCGTGTCGGGGCAGGTCAGCTCTGCGGGAACGGCAACACAGGCGGCGTTAATCCATCACTGCTCCGAAAGGAGGCCAGACCAAACCAGCTCACTCTCAACCTTCAGTCACCACCTTTGCAACACAGTTTCCGCCATGACATGGTTCTTTTTTTATCTTAAAAAAAAAAAATCTACGGCAAGAATGGCCCGGGTGACCTTTGTGATGGCCCTTAGGGGAAGGATCAGCGAGGGAGACGGAAAGATTGGGGTCCCTCGAACTGCTCGCATATATTATATTTACCTACATTCAATTCACTGATCAGAATCACACGTGAACCAAGAGAGGCGCTCCGTATCCCCCAGGCGCCCTGCTAACATTCCTCAGACCCGCCTCCCTCCTCCTGATCTGTGCTCCAAAGGAAACGGTTCTCCTTTAACGGCAAGGAAAGGGCAATCGGTCCCTCTCCTCAAAAGCCTCACTTTCTGAAACTAATCCTTAGAACTTTTGCCAGCACAAACTATGGATAAGACAGCTTCCACCTCTGTTCATCCTTCCATTTCAAGGTATTTCAACTTTCTGAGTTGTCCAAAGCTCTTTCCAGTATAAAACTCTAGGAGTATCTTTCTTTAGGATAAAGCACCAAACACAGAAGACAGGGCGTTTTCCTGGGGAAAGGGCTG